ATAACAGCTACTAGACATGAGAAACCTATTTTCCTGAAAAATTGTTTTTCAGGGAAAGATTTCATAAATTTGAACCAACAGCAGACATGGCTGCTCAGTCAATGAATGCCACCATTACCAAAGTAGCAAATCAGCTCTGCCATGCTTATTCATAAAGTTAGTGCCTACTATCAACCAGCTTCTGGCCATTACCCAAGTATAACAAATTTTATGAAGTGAAAGAGACAGAATGTATATTTTGCGGCAAATAGTAAGAGACTTAGCAGAGTGATGATCACCAAATGAGATCCACAAAAGTACATACCTGTCTCATTCCAGACTATAATTTTATGCTCTTTAAGTAGTCAACTGGCCAATGATGGTGAAGTAATGGTGGGAGTGACCATGCACATTAGACTAGTTTAATTATATTGCCTCAATTTTTTTTTTTTTAATGAGAGGACCATTTCTGGGACCTAAATCTTGTTTCACCAGACTTGTCACTTATGACTTTGCTCTGTTGAAAATAGTGGTATGTATACAATAAAAAGAACATAATTTATTATGTACACACTTCCTATTCCATAAAATTCTTTCACCAAGTATATGATCTCTACCTACTTTGGAACCACTTGCTTTTTCTTATTTATATCTTTGACTTAAAGAGAAATAAAAATTACTCTGAGACATTTTCTTGCATCAAATACGCCTTAGCCTTTTCTGTTAAATCAATTATGCCTTTAACGTTTTTTTCATACATCAATAACGCCTTTACCTTTCCATTATAAACATAAATAAATCTTTGTCCTATTCTTACACTAGTTATGGGTTTGACTCTTTGCCAACATTTACACTTATATTTTTTCTTACATCTGTAACACTCACATTTTCATGTATATAAATAAATAAAATATGAGTGGCAAACATGAGGTGTTACCCACCATCCTTAGATATGTAATGACGTTACACTTCAATACAGATTTAAAAATTTCTTCTCTTCCTCTCAGGCATAAACACACTGTGAGAATGGCAATGAACAGAAGAAAGGTAGGAACTCATTGTTTTTTCTCTCTAATTCTCTCTCTCTCTCTCACACACACAATTTGAAACATTTTGATGTCAGTGTTACTAAAATATGGTCAATTTACTTATTCTTTTTTCATTGTCTTCCACATGCCATAACCTCTCTCTGTCTTTTTTACAAATACTTTCATGGTAATTGCTCCGATGAGCTGCTTTCGCTATTTCCCAAACTTCATGAATTCAAGCATCCTACAAAGCTGGCATCCCGCTCTCACCCTTTCACTGTTGAAACTGTTAAATGTAGCGGTTTCTTCTACTCCAATAGCTTCATATTTCGCACTTCTCACCTGTGGAATTCCCTTCCCCTTTTCCTGTATCCCTGATAGCTATAATCTCCAACTATTCAAATGTAATGTCAATTGATATCTCCAGTTGCCATGATCTATCCACTATCCTTCTCCTCATCCTTTCTGCTCTCGCTCCAAATCCTCTGTAACCCCTTGCATGCTAGTGGCTTCCCGCCTTGCTTGGGGTGAAATGCTTATAAAAAAAAATTTTTTTTTAAATTCATATTTGTTCAACTGAAATCTTGTACATCTTAATATACAGTTAGTTTAAGGATAATTAAAAGTAACCATCAAATAGTCATACATCAATTTCACCTTTTGCTATTCTTCTTAGATTCAAATACGTTCTTAAATCTTTTCAGCATCAATTTACACCCTTGCTGTTTCATGAGAAGAAACTTAGCAGAATGATGATCACCAAATGAGAATTAAACAACATTAAGAACAAACAAAGAAAATATGACTAAACTAAATAAGCTATTAATGTCATTAAGCAGGTAAACAATGATGGTGGGGAGAATAGTTGCTGAGTTGATCTTTAAGAAAGTTCATTATTGTTGTAAGAAATTTTGAAAACAAGTTATTTCCTATTTCTTTACTATCATTATATTAATATTTTACTAATTTACATATAATCTATAATGTAAAATGACAACAGAATTGAAAACCATATTTTGTTACTATGACTTATCGGTGAGTCTTTAAATATATTTTGTCCATTTACTATTTCTTTACTCTGCTATTTCACAGAATTAGTCTTTGTAAACATACTAGTACTGTTCACTATTTTCATACCAAAGACACTGATGCATTGGCTTTGCCAGTGCAAACATTACATGTCGTGTACTTATATATTATATGATATAAACTCCTATATTTTATGGCCAATAAGTGAACAAGTAAGAGACACCTACAAATAAATCCTACTAAATTCAGTAGATACAAATTTTTTTTTTACAATTCTCTACAAACATGGCTCCAAAATTAAATAATTAGTTTCTGGAGACTGATTGGATAAGACAAGTCATGTGATATGCTCTCTACAATGTCCATGCAGTTAAACTCCAAATGACATGGAAATAGATCAGGATGGGTTACCTAATACATTCCTGTGCAAAACTCAGATAGGATTTGTGAGCCAATAACTGACTCACCATAAAAGTGGCTCATCAACTACAGTTAGTAACCAAATCTGAAACAGAACAGTCAGTGAGCCAGACCAGCTTCAATTAACAACAATGTCAATACATATGTCGGTGATGATTTTTCTACATACAATGCCACGACAAAAGTAAGTCTTGTCTCAGCTCTCTTTGTTCACTGTTTTTTTAAATTACTGCTATCACATGCAATTAGCCAGAAGTTTTGCACATTTTTAATTAGTGTGCGCTTTATATATTGACATATTTTACCACTTGAATTCCTCACTAGTAACAAAATCACTTCAAAACTTTGCAGACTCACTTGTGATAAACCATTTTGAACACTAAAACTATTGGTCTTCATGACCACAACAAAAAACATTGATTTTTAACATGTAAATAAACATATGTACCTGCCTGTATAAATGTTATTGTCATATTTAGCCTGGTTTTTTTTTTTCTGTGAAGTTCATTTTCCTTGCTTTGTATATCATTTTGTGTTGTATTTGTGGACATGACACTCAGATTTTATTTTTCTACCTAAAATCCAACTGGACTGACCCCACAATATATATGTTTCTAGCTTTACCTACGATTATTGTTGATTTTATTACAACATTGTCAATTTAATCAAATAATGATGAAAAATAATTAATCTAGAAACTTTTATAATAATAGCTCTACTAATTGAAGAAGAAGCCGTGGCAGAATAAGAATAGAATTGTCCTTTGCATGATTATCAAGATGACCAAGGGTGAAATGGCATAAGTGATGTCCTTGCAAGACAGGCTTCAAAGGTATGGGATGTTATTTCATCTAAAAATCCCAAAAGTCTCTATGGTGACACGTTGATTTCATTGTATTTTTTTCTCCATATTTCTTGTCTCTTATTGATAAATGTGGCACTGCTTATAACATTAATTTCCTTCTTTCTATATGTTTTCTGTTCATATCTATGGTTGATTTTGCTTAGTGATAGATCAATGTCTGTGTGTTATTTTATGCCAAAATCTAAATAATTTGAATACAATTTTATGCCTTCAAATAAATATATATTAAACGCAATTGTATGCTTTCAACTAAATAAATTTGAATGAAATTGTCTTCCACTACAGATAAAACATATTGTTGGTCATTTTGTTATAAAATAAATTGTTGGTAATTCTACTATAAAGAGATATTTTTGGTCATGTTTTTATATACAAATAAATTACTGGTATTTTTACTATGAAAATATATTTTTATACTTTCATAGTATTTTTTTTTGTTTCTATTTGGTTTATTTTAACCACAATGGATTATTTGACATATTCAGTGGAGGAGCGTCAACAAAAAATTGTAAATTGCTTTTTGCACTGCAAATTATTCATTATATCATATCCAAGTACTTTGCAAAAATTTTAGAGCCGATTAATCAATAATTCAAGCTCAATTTAAATTTATAGTTTGTAACCATGCAAAGAGATTAGGTAACATAAACTGTAGATTTGTCTCTGGAATATCATTACATTCTTGTGACATAATTATAGTAAAATCATTAAAGTTTTTTGTCAAAAGCATTTTATTTTTGGCTGTATATTAATTTAAAATATTCCTTTTTACAGGCTTTATTTCCAGGCTTTGAAATGAAAAAAAATCATTCTAAATTTCAGAATTTCACTATTGCCCATCAAAATGACTGGAAGTAAATAATTTAAAACAATAGAAAAGAGAGATAACAAATTGTAAACGAAATAGCTCCAGTTTGTTCAACTTAGTAAAATTAGCATTGCAGCCAAAGTATTCTAAAATGCTGCCAATAACAAAGAAGAAAATTGAAAAATACCTAACAACAAATCGAATATAGCATCAAAATTTATATTATTTTTATTTATTTGTTATGTAACTAAATACACAATTGTCAACAAAGTTTCTGTAAAACTTGATATTTCCTGTAATAAATTCTTAATAAATATTAGTATTGTTATTATTTTATTTAAGTGTAAGGTAATCCCACATTTACAATTACTTACGGCTAACCATGAAAAGAAATGTTGATCAAAACTGCCTAAAACTATTAAATACGTATTACTGTAAAATTATCAAATTTTGAATACATCCCTCCTCCACCGAACACATTATTTAATGCCAACAAGATTTTTAGGATAGGTTCATATGAATAAAATATATATTAATATTTTTTTTTCAAAAATGTGTTGCTGGTATCTTTACTATAAAAATCTATTTTTATACTTTCATAGTGGCCAAATTGCTAACTACCAATTTGGTGGTTAGCAATTTGCCCATAGCTGGGACCCTAACACCCTGGGTCAGGTGAGACCTGGGAACAACAGCAATTAAGAGGTGGTTCCATGATCCTGAAAACCTCTCAACCAGAAGCCTTGCTGCCAGACGTAATTTATCGTCATACCCAGGACTCTCATATCTACATATCTCAATCTATTCTGATTTGTAATTTTCATTCTATTCACATTTATTTGTCTATTTATCATTCTCACATCACATCATAACATTGAAATGCCAGTTCCCATACGATCACCAAAGTTAGGCAATCATGAGACGGGTCAGTAACTAGATGTGTGACTGCTTGGGAATACCAGGTGCGGTAAGCTTCAATTATCAGGTGGTGTAATGGATAATGGCTCAGAATTGTTAACCAGAAAGCCGAGTTCCAATTATATTCACTTATGCACAAATACCCTTGGGAAAGGCATGAACCCATCTCTTATCATGTTGTAAGATGGATGTGCAGGTGGTGTAATGGATAATTGCTCAGAATTGTTAATCGGAGAGCCGTTCCAATTGGGTTCGTTATATTCAATTATGCGCAAATACCCTTTGGGAAAGGTATGCATCCACCTCTTCTCCACCCCCAGGTATGGATTAATTAGCAGGACACATATCACTAAACCATTTTTATACAATCTTAAAATATTTCCTGTTTTTGAAAAATCCATAAAAAGCGAATAAATCAATCATTCTAATTTTAAATCTATCATTTTCACACTGTCTATCTCTCTTGATATCTGTCAATCAACCTCTCAAGAACCTTACAAAATAATAAACACCATATTATTTGAAGACTTCTAACAGAAGCAACAACTAAAATGGGTAGCACATGCAACTAATGGGGAAAATAATGATATAATCATGATGTTAACTTTAAACAGAAGGTTAAAAAGCAAAACCCATTAATATTAGAATGCGTGACAACAGTTAGTGGACTTGAGAAACCTATTTTCCTTACAAAAAAGGTTTAAAGAGAAAAATTTTATAAATTTTAACTGACAGCAATGCTGTTAGGGAGATGAACAGACCTCTTCAGAATATGACTTGGACTGATCCAAATATGTAGACTGATGCCAAGAATCATCTGGAGAGAGCTAACCAGGAGCAAGTGGCTTCCCTTCCAGATTCTTCCAAACAGATTAGCAGAGGAGGAGAAGAGTTTTTTCTCCCATTGGAATAGATGATTTTGTACTGGAGGCCTTCTCTCCTCCCTTGCGTTCCCCCTACCATTGCGTGATATATGTTACGTAGCGGTGGTATGACTGGCCATGACCAGCTTAGACCAGCTGCCTGAGTGGAAACACTTGAGCGAGTCCCCTTGTGTCACAACCTGGCTCAGTGGGTCAAGTAAATCTCAAGCTAGCCAGGAGTGAGTCTTATTTCCTTACTACAGACCTCAGTAAAACTACGTTGACTCCAAGCGACATTATATTTCATACTTGCATTATCTTCATTCAATGAAATGAAGACATAGCATGCTACTAGTCCAGTCAGTGAATACCTGTTTCTTTTCTTCTAAGGAAATGGCTATTCTTACCATTACAATCTATCATTCTCACTATATATCTTTTTCTGTCGATTACTATGTATATAAACACGTTAAGCGTATTTAAAAATAACCTACAAATATTTATACAAGTATATTACAGTCCTTTTCTCCATATTTAACCTATTTGGTCTCATGTCATTTGATGTTAACTTTAGTAAAAACTCATTTATGCATTAGTACGTGCACGGAAATAAAATTGAAAACTTTCAGTCTTCTTTGACCAGTTTACTTACCGCTTTCAGTTCGACATTCATTTGCTCTGCAACATTCAGCCTCTCTCTGAGTTCAACATTCTCCTGGCATAAAACAGTCTGCTCTTCTTGAACCAACTGCTCCACCTGAGCCCTCTCAGCATCCTTTTCACGTAGCATTTGCATCTCATGCAAACGCTCACTCAGTATTTGCAGCTTTGTCATTTCCTGTTGCAACCTGCTTTTCAGCTTTTCATTTTCTTGTTTCAGCTGTTTGATGAGATGGCACACCTTATCTAGGATCATGTTGCCTCCAGATGCGTATCTGGATAACAGCTCATCTACTTCACCGCTCCCATTGACCAGACCCAACAAACTTTTCGAGGGACTATTAACATGGTCGTCGTCATGGGTAAAATGGTTTCCAAATGTTGCCTTTTGATCTGCTTCTGTCAGTTTGTCACTTTCTTGTTTCATATTCACAGGAACAAGCTGATCGATGTTTTCTTGATGTCGCAATGATTTGTTAACCAATGTTGAAGAAGGAAAAGGAGTATTTGTAGTCTTTACTGTTATGCTTTGCTGGTCTACTGACATATTATCTCCTTGATTTCCAACCCTCCACAAATGTTTTTTGTTATCCTCTGTGGAAATGGCGCGACCTGGAGAAGTCTTCAAGGGTGATGATTTTTTCTTTTGAAAAGAGTTACCTTCCAGGTGTTCATTCAACATAAATCCACCATGGAATGATAGAGAATGCAAAGAAGAAGGTCTTACATTTTTATCTTCAAGCTCTGCTTCCAAATCTAACAAGCCGTTTGTAGACGGAGACCAAGTTTGGTTCATTCTTTCTGACATATCCTGTTTCTCAGAGTTAATCTTGGAGGCTGTGCTTTGTTCTGAGTCTATTTTGCTGAGATCTTTGTAAGACTTGGGACTTTTGATATCTGTATCCAGAGCACTCTGAAACGTTCTGTTTAAATCTGCCAGATATGTTTTTCCAGTTTCCATAGCCATGACTTTCTTCTTAAGCTCACCAATTTCAATACAGAGAATATCAATCTTTCTGGAAGTTACCGATGCTGCATTTAAATTGGGATTTGAGTTTTCAGATGAAGCATTGCCACTAGACATGTCTGGATCCTGAGCTGCGACATCTTGAATCTTATTTCCAGTTGCAACACTGCCACTTTGTTTTTCTCTGAAGGACTGCTCATCAGTACTTGCCTGTCTAGTAATTAACTTTCTCTCTACTGTTTGATTCAAGCACTTTGTGGAGGCCGAAGCGTGTTCCTCAGAAAACTGTGTGCCTGTTGGTTCTTTACAATCTTGCTTGTTGATACTATCAGCTTTCATTTTATGGCCCTCTTCCATTTCAAACACAGGAAGACTGGAGGGGGGCGCATTTAATGGAGGTGGGCGAGGTTGGGAAATTTCCCAGTCAGAGGTTAAATGTTCTTGAATATTCGTCTCTATTTTCTCTTGCTTGTCTGTCTTTTCAAGAGATCGGATTTTCGGATTTGCAGACATGGAATTAGATGGGTATTGTAAATTAACAGCTTTCTCAGTGGTAACAGGAAGTGTTTCAATTCGGGCACTGTCCCCATCGTTTGTAATGATTACTTTCTTGAATGGGTATATGCCATCTTCTCTACGCTGTTTGGCTGTTAATGGCGAAGCCTGTTGGCTGGTGCTGACGTTTTGACTAGCTTCTTCCAATGTTTTTACTATTTCTTGCTTTCTGTGAGGAATGCCATAGGTATCAGTATTAGAACGAATGCCAATTTGTTTTTGAGAAGCCTTACTACCAAGGTTTCCGCATGTAATCAAATGCTTTTCTTTCTGTTCTGTATTTGACTTTTTAGACATTTCCTCATCGAGTAAACTGGGATATGATGATCTTATATTTGGCTTTATTTCAGTGATGTCATAGTTACCAGTCCATCTTGTTAAACCCATTGCTGACCGGGGTCTGGAGAATACAGGAGACAATGGAAACTCAGAATAATTTGGTCTTGCTGTTGAAAATGTCATCGTTGGTGTTAAGGAACGGGAGTAAAGCTGTGTACGGACAGGACTTCTGTATGAGTTGTTTATATTGCTTATCTCATTTTCTACAGGATCTTCTTTGTTATCGCATTGACGAGAGAAATTGTCATTGGAACTGAAATATCGCTTGGATAATGCCTGTGGACCTGTCATCACTGTTGCTGACTGTGGTGATGTTATACTGTTGCTTATCAATGTTGGACTACTTTCAAAATGGGTTTGAGGCACTGTGGAGTTTGTCGTTTGTTTCTCGAAAGATTCAACAATGGAAGCTGATTGTTTGGGTGGCACGACTTGTTTTTCTGATTGATTTATTTGGCTCTTCATTGGTTGGCATCTTGTTTGCTCCATTGATGAAGATGATGAAGAAGGGGCAGATGACGCTGGTTCCGTGAGATTCCACAGATGCGGATGCGACAGTTGGTTTTGCTTTTTCTCAATCTAGCAAAAAAAGACATAAGAAAACATTTAAGATGAATGCAAATGCCAAGAAATCATATCAGTAATAAATAAAATTGACACATATGCATATATATATGTCGTCAAAGTGCTTATATATGTTGTCGATAATTTCATAACTTGATGCAAGTGTGTGTTTATGTTGTGAACGTGTGTGTATGTTTTTATTAATTTGTTTTTTTATAGCTTACCAACTTTTTATGGGTTGTTTCAAGACAGAAATTATTTTTAGATTAAGAAATTTTGGGGAGATAATAATGATTTACTGATACAAGTCCTATGTTGAACTCTAAATAAATTTTCAAATTTGAAATTTTGCTAAACTGTTAATCATGAGACAAAATTCTAATACAAAAAATCGCCACAATAAATATTTTAAATAATTGATTTTTTCTCTTCTATCTCTGTTTCTTCATTTTGTCTTATATATATATATATATATATATATATATATATATATACACCTATATATATATATATATATATATATATATATATATATATATATATATATATATATATAATTAATATAAAAAACAGACCATTTGAAAAAGGTACCATTATAATAATTTAATTCACCAAAATCCTTTTAAAGGACTCTGGATCATCAGGTAACACTTCCAACAACAAAATGAAAGGAAAAAAAAATGGGATTAGAAATTGATGGGTAGTGTAATTTTTTGTAATTTAACGGGGGGTGTTAGTTGTGGTTAACGAGACAAGGTAAAGTATAGGAGGGTTAATTTCATATTTCTCTTAAGCATGCTTTATACGAGGAGTGACCTAATCTTGACCTATTTAGATGGTTAACTTAACGGAAATGATATCTAGGAATGGGATAGTGGGATGGGTGAAAGAAAAGGAAAAAAAAGAGAGGAGATGACAACAGTAATACAGATATATCTAAATGAGTGTTACGGCAAAAGAGAGGGGGTGAGAAGGGAAGTGAATCGAAAGAGGCTGTAATTTTGTTTTAACAAAATTATGTAAAAGATAATTTCAATGCTTGATAGAAATTTAGATGTCGAAAAAATGATGAATGTTATCAATTTAAACATTTAATTTTTTAAGTA